TGTCTTATGTTCAGGGAAACACTGTATCTTTTTTTTAAATTATATATATAGGCATCAAAAATGAACAAAACCCCTACCAATCCAACACAGATTTAGAGCATAGTAAAAGCTCATATAAATGATCCGATATAAAAGATTTTTTTTCACAAGTCGAAATGCTACTTTTTGTTGTCGTTATGCGCCATCGAGATGCTCTCCGACTATGAGGAATGAGATATGCCCAACATGTCCCATCCTCAAGAGCCCCTGCTCAGCTCTTGCAACCTCAAGCCTGTGGCTTCCTTTAGAGAGCCAATCCATCTCATATTATATTATCCTGTTTTCCTGCTGCCTTCAACCTTTTTCCAGCATTACTGTCTTTTCCAGAGGATCCTGCTTCTCATGATGTGCTCAAAGTAGGACAGCCTGAGTGTAGCCACACCCAGTTTCAACATTTTTGCCTCCGGTGACAGTTCAAGCTTGATCTGATCTAGGACACACCTGTTCATCTTTCTGGCTGTACAGAGTATCACCAAAGGTCTCCTCTAGCACCATATTTCAAATGGATCAATTTTTTTTTCCTGTCAGATTTCTTTCCTGTCTAGCTTTCACACCCACACATGGAGATCAGAAATATAAGCGTGTAGATGATCTTTTTCTTGGTCTCCAGCGACGCATCCTTAAACTTGATGATCTCATTCTTTCATTGCATCCCTTCCGAGACAGTCTTATTCCGATGTCTTGGCTGCAGCCTCCATTTGGACTGATGACTGACAACAAGATACACAAAACCCTTCAGTTTTGATTTTCCCATTGCCAACATTAAAGTTCTGTAGTTCTTCTGTAGTTGTGGTTGTGATCTTCTAAAAAGTTCAACAGCAGTCTTGCTTCGGCACTTTCTTCTTTCATTTTCACCAAGTCATTCCAAGCCATTGCTCTGTTCTGCCAGTAAGATATTACCATCTGTATACTTTAAAATACTGGTTTCTTCCACCAGTTTTCACCCCTCTTTCCTCTGAATCGAGTCCAGCTTTCTATATGATATGTTCTTTTTAAAAAATTGAACAGACAGGGAGATAAAAGATACCCCTGTCTGACACTTTTGCCTATGGGAAACCATTCTCTCTCTCCATATGAGCCTACCCGGCCGTTTAGATCTAGCCAGGGGGGGCTTTTGAAAGAGCCATCCCTCAAGGAGGTAAGAGGGATGGCTTGTAGGCAAAGGGCCTTTTCAGCAGCTGCCCCCAGACTATGGAATGCCCTCCCGACTGAAATTCGTCTGGCGCCAACGTTGATGACATTTCGGCGCCAGGTCAAAACCTTCCTGTTCCAGAAGGCTTTTAGTTGAAATAACATCAACTGTGGATCCTGATGGCAATTTTAATTGCATTTTAATCATTTTTATCTTTTATTGTATCTTAATTGAATTTTAATTGTTGTAAGCCGCCCAGAGACCTCTGGGTAGAGTGGGCGGAGTATAAATAAAATAAAATAAAATAAATATGCTTCCCTAAAAGTAGCTTCACGTCCACAATACAGGTTGCATATCAGGACAGATTCCAAAAGATCTCCTGTATGGAGAATGAGTGCAGGGAAATCGCCCCAGAGGGAGACCACAGCTGCGATACAAGGACATCTGCAAGCGGGATGTGAAGGCCTTAGGAATGGACCTCAACAGATGGGAAACCCTGACATCTGAGCGTTCAGCCTGGAGGCAGGCGGTGCATCATGGCCTCTCCAATTTGAAGAGACCCTTGTCCAGCAGGCCAAGGCAAAGAGGCAGTCACGAAAGCAGCAAAATCAGGGAGCTGGACAGGGGACAAACTGTATTTGTTTTCAGTGTGGAAGGGATTGTCAAATTAGCCTTCTCAGCCACACTAGACGCTGTTCCAAGTCCTCCATACAGAGCACATTACCACAGTCTCTCGATACTGAAGGATGCCTAATCTGTTAGTATTGTCTGTAGCTAGCTGCACTGCTCATCCTGCAATGAGAGGTAAGAAGGAATGGAAAGCCCTGATAATTGCTAAGACTTCGAGATGGTTGATGTGTAATAATTGTTCTTATTTTGTCCATAGACCATGTATTTTGTGATGTCGACAGTGAGCTCCCTATCCTGACGCGCTGGACAGGGGACAGATTGCATTTGTCTTCAGTGTGGAAGGGACTGTCACTTTCAAATTGGCCTCCTCAGCCCCACTAGATGCTGTTCCAAGTCCTCCCATACAGAGCATGTTACCATAGTTTCTCGAAACTGAAGAATGCCTATACACTATCAGGACAACCATGTGCTGAGACACATCAATTTCTTCCAGAACAACCCATAGTTCCTCATGATACACATAATCAAAGGCTTTGCTGTAGTCTATAAAGCATAGACTTCTTTCCTGAAATTCTTTTGTGAGCTCCCATAGCCAACAGTTATTTACAATATGATCTGAATGCCTCTTCCTTTTCAGAATCCAGCTAGACGTCAGACATTTCTCATTCCATATAAAGAAAAAGCATTTATTGCAACACATTGAGCATCGCTTTCTCTGTCTGAGAAATTAAAGAAATGACCCTACAGTTACTGCACTCCTTGGCATCATCTTTCTTGGAAATGTGAATGTATATTGACCTTTGCTAGTCTGTGGGCCATTGTTTTGTTTTCTATTTTGGTTGGCATATTCTTGTTAGGATTTTGTCAGATTCAGTCTCTGTGGCTTGAATTTGAATGTATATTGACCTTTGCCAGTCTGTGGGCCATTGTTTTGTTTTCTATTTTGGTTGGCATATTCTTGTTAGGATTTTGTCAGATTCAGTCTCTGTGGCTTGAAATAGTTTGATTGGTATTCCATCAACCCCTGGTGATTTAATTCTTCCTAGTGCTTTCAGAGCAGCTTGCATTTCACCATTCTAGAACTGTAGATTCCTCTTCAAAGAAGTCTGTCATCTTTTTATATCTTCTGTCTTCAGAAGATGCCGGCCACAGAGACTGGCGAAACGTTAGGAGAAACCACCTTCAGAACACGGCCAAGAAGCCCGAAAAACCCACAACAACCATTCTTCAGAATACTATTTCCATCTTCTCTTTATCTTCTCCTAATTAAATAGTGTGCTTTCCTTGTTGGTCATTTAATGTTTCTAATCTAAGCTTAAATTTCCCTTTGATATCTTGGATCATCTGGATCTAGTTCCAAAATGTAATGCTATTTTCTCAAATTTTGTCCCTTCATAAATATAGCACAGTTCCCAATTCCAACCACATTTCTTTGGTTGATTGCTTTCAGTGGAACTTTCAAATGAAGATGCTACAGAACACAGCCTTAGACTTGCTTAGGTGTCCATTTAATCAGCACAAGGCATTTTTCTTATTCACTTCCTCCATAGGCTCTGAGGACCTTTAGACCCAGAGTAAGTCAGGATGCAGCTGACTCTGCACATCAAATCTTTAATGATGGCTGGAATGCAGGAACCACTGCATACTTCTCCTTCTTTCTGGGGAACAGGAGGAAACATCACC